CTCTCTCTCTCTCTCTCTCTCTCTCTCTCTCTCTCTCTCTCTCTCTCTCGTTTCCGAAGGACTTCTGCTGGTGGATCGGCAGGAGCATCTGCACTCGCTGGTGGTTGCGCTACTGCTTCATCTCACGTGTCAGGCGAGGAAACATTCCGTCAGAGAGCTTCGGCCATACTCTCTGCACCTATGTAGCCCTTTCTGTAGTGATCCGTCTCCATAACGAGGATCATTAAATGTATGTAATGGATTTGGGTTAGGGCTACTGCGACGGTCTGTGGTCCCGCCGATCCGCCGCAGATCGCGCCTGTGCTGCTCCCCCCCTGTGCATTTGAGGTTGCTCGAGGGCCGATGCCTCGTGTAGTTGCACCCAGTGCTCTGGTTGCAGGAGCAAGTTATGGACCTTTAGCAAGTCCAAGATGTGAACCACCATCAACAGCTGCTTCGCGTCCATTCGAAAAGACGCCAGCGGTCGTTGCACGTGGAATTTGCGCCTGTTGTTCTGACGCATCGAGGATGGAGAACTGGCCTTGGTGACCATGCACCAAACCTCGTAGGAAAGCTCGACTCGTGGCATCTCTTTGCAGCTCTTGCCCGAGGAGGAGAAGAGGCACCCTAGATCGAGAGCGTGGGCGGGACGTTCACGGCACTAGGAACGAAGCACCGCGAAGACCGTGCATGGGTGTCCCTGCGGCCACAAGCACCACCGTATCCAAGTCCGATGACGGCTGTGGCGGACTCGCGGGCTGAACCGGGGCCGCACCCGGAGGGGTCGCCAGCAGAGGCGGGGGCGAGGCAGTGGACAACCGTGTACGAGGCATACATTGCAGACATTTGTCACGACCCTGCAGTACGTCGACCGCCCGGGGAAGTTGAGGAAGCGAAAGGGAGTTCTGGTATGTATGTGTCTCTGTCTCTGGAAGCCAGATATTTCGATACAATCTGAGGTTCCATCATCGGTTCCAAAGTTCGATCCATCGTATTTTACCAACTGGACCAGGCGTGGCGATCCAGGCCTTTTGATCTACCCCTCGCAGCACCTCCTAAACGTTTTTGTTCACCGATCGCTCCTCAGCCGCCGGGTCGACGTGCGCGCCACGTCTGACGCAAACGTGGTAGATTGGAAAGGCGCTGGGAAAGTCCTTTTCAAGGACCCAAACACATTTCCTCTGCCAATCAATGTCCGGGTTGCCTCAAACGCATCTTCTCCAACCAATGAAACATTCATATATATATCGGCACGGCTAAACACTCCACCGGTGGGGTAATTCCTTAACCACCTCACCGGTGGGGCGGTTAACGCGTAAACGCCCCACCACCTGTAGCTCGCTCTACAAGACTCCAATCAGCACAGGACTTCAACGAATGTGTTGCGGCGTTTCAGAGGTATCATTCGACCCATCGCGAGGTTGAAACGGCACAGGTTTGGTGGTGCCACGGTTGGTGGGAAACATGCGCCGCTACCCCACTTGTGGGGTAGATAACGTTATGGACCCCACCAGATGGATATCCCTCTACAAGGCTTCGATCGACACACAAGCACCTGTAGGAGTTTGTGGTCGATGCACGCACAGCGCACATTAACTAGTCATCACACTGACTGCTGTTCACACATCGGGCGAGAAAAATATGCTGAAAACTTCTCACGTCGTTGAGCTCGCCGCCCACCGCAACGCAGCCGGCCGCGCGGCACCCGCCCCTCCTCTTCTCCGCCATAAGCATGGTGGCCCCGGGCGGGCACCTCTTCTCCTATTCCATCGTCGAGCAGGAAGGGGCCAGGCAGAGGTCGACTTGTTTCCGGAAAGCTAGCCAGCTAGCGGCCATGGAGTCGGTCATGGAGTCGTCGTCGAGTGCTGCCGCGTTAACACCGAGCTTGGGGCAGGCCATGGCAATCCCTCCACTGCTGTAGTGTGACGCATGCGACATCCGCCGGGAACAACGCGGACAGGGCAGCGTAGAACATGTCATGGACTGCACCAGAATGTACTGGCGACGGCTGGTTCAACGGGGCGCGGCAGACATCCTCTACGTACATGCAGAAAAACATGAACGACCGAACGCATTGAAAGGTCCATCTACCATGTTTCGCCGACAGACCACCTGCTACTGAACACTGACTACATGTACCTGCGTGACCAACTGAGCGGGGCAATCAATTCAATCTCTCACCAAGGAGCCGGCAGGTGGTGTTTCCCAAAGGCGTCAAGCCAGCCGGCCTCGCCCTCCACCAGCAGTGCAGCGCAGCACTTGTCCTCTGGGCTGGCGTTGGTCGGGCCGTTGACCTTACCGTCTGCTCCGAACGCGCGAATCCCGAGAGCAGCAGTAGCATCAACGCCCTCATATTTTCTTCCTCTGTGTGAGCAAGGGAGAAACATGACAAACAACGAGTGACCCGGTGTATTGCTGACAAGGGCGACCAGAGCCGGATCCTGTACATATCGCAAAGTATCCCAGAACCCCTCTGCCAGCGAGCATTGCAGGTATTGTATTTGCCATCATCACGTGGGCGTTCTGCGGCCAGTTGGTTGGTTGAAGTCAAAGAGAGCCAGCAACATGGCAGGGGATGGCCAGGGGCGCTACCCTCGTTCTTTTCCGCGGGGGGATACCGCTACAGCAGGTATGTCGAAAAGCCCGTGGAGAGTTTGGTTTCGTATGTAGCTCTCAAAACTACCGACACTGCTGCGCCATGAAAGCTGACGACAGCGGATCGGATGCGGACGAACCTCAGCCGCCGGTGGCGGGAAGAGCAGAATCAGCGTGACAAGAGATCCCTAGGAACAAAGAATTATCCTCTTCGCACCAACCGCCATGGTAGAGAAGCCTCGAACCTCGTTTTAAAACGTATTCACTGCCGATTGCACTTGCATACGTCTGTCTAGATTTTCATTTTTTGCCTCACGCAAAAGTGCTTGCTCACCTGTGTACTGTATTTGCTTGCCCGGTAAAATAGGGTGTCTGGTTATGTCCCCTACAAGATCCGAAGCCGAACAACTTCGCGTGGAGGCTCGCAGGCGCGCTCACTGCTGTCACCGGTAGCTTCGATGCTCTCTAACTCAGATGCACGCTACAGCAGGATCCCGATCGATGTAGTATGCTGAGTGAGGGCAGGAGGCATGTGTGGGCCCACAATGCGCGTGCGGGGGTTCCAGAAAAGCCAAAAAATCCACAGGGGGAGGGAGAATATCGCCCCGCCCCCCTCAGGATTTGTTTCAACGTCAAGGGGAGAGAGGGGCAGAGAGAATGGGAGAGAAAGCGAGAGTGAGAGAGAGAGCGAGCGAGAGGGAGAGAGAGAGCGAGCGAGAGGGAGAGAGAGAGCGAGAGAGAGAGAGGGAGGGAGAGAGAATGAGAGAGAGAGAGAGAGAGAGAGAGAGAGAGAGAGAGAGAGAGAG